TGAAAACCACCATGCCTGAAAGTCTTTTCATTTATCAGCTTCGTCAGAAAAGATTCAGGAAGAAAAGTTAATGAGTCCTGACCGCCCAATTCATCATTTATCGTCGTGTCACTCATTGCATCCCAGTGTCGGTGTTTATAATCAACTAATGAAGGTGTCTGGGTGTTCCCTCAGCAGCTGCTCGGAGAGAAGTCTCCATGACTGATGACAACAGCATCGAGGACTAGAGAGAAATTCGAAATCCTGCACGCTTGAGGTTAGATTTATAGAACACGTTTTTTAAAGCGATTGTAAAGCAGGTTTTAAGATTTCAGAAAATGTTACAATCCAACATTTATTTCCAGGCGTGACCGTCAGCATTTAACAACTAGAAGCTGTGTTCAATTAGTTTTTTATCACGATGCTACATCAGCACAGGATAATAAAGCGCATTTCTCTGAAACATTGGTGTCGTTTGAATTTAACTCGGAATGCTTCTGGCTGATGTATTCGCTTTTTACAGAGCCTTGCCAATTGTAAATGTTACTCGTACAACTCCAAATATCAAATACATAAATCTAGATAGGTGGGGGTGGGTTTTGTATTGGAATGTTAAGTTTTGTTTGTAAAAGGCATTTATTGTACCCCGTAAAAACTGTAGTTACGGTAGTTTGTAATTGTAAAATGTGCTTACAATTAACTGTAAGGAACTCATTACTAATCGTCATCGAAACTGCCACTGGCAGAATCACGCATCTAACGTAATTGCTGGCCGTGTGAATTGAAAATAAGCGAGCCCTTCTGTGATAGGGCATTACTATTACAAGTATTAAAAAAGGAAATACAATTTTTGGAATATACCACCACATCCTAGATAGAAATGAGTCAAATATAGTCACCAGAAATGCGGCGAGCTGTAAAAAATACCTTTGCCAATTCGCTGACAAAACCCAAATACCCAGGCAGCAATCTTTAAATATTTACAGTATGTCACTACAAAAAAGTATAGGTACTGTACTTGTACACAGGAATATGAGAGGCAAGCGGCTGAAGTACTATAGTCATAGCAATCGGTCTGGTCAACAGTGGTTTAATTCTCTCTGATTGGCCGAAGTAAAACTACTGAGCCTTAAATGAAGGAGTAGTGACGTGTTGGTGACTGAATGACAGTTGCTGTACCTCACGTTGGGGTTTGGAAATGCCTTTTAAATACCCTGAAAAAGAAAGGATTTTGTTCTTTGGTTATTCAGCATTTTTCACAACATCCCTCCAACACAAAGTAATTTACACAAACACAATTGCACACCACCTGACAAGGTTACTCACATAATACATGGTACTGTACATTTATTTGGAATCCTAATACGGAACTGAAAAAGATTAAATTATCATTTTCCTGCATGTGTGATTTATACTGGAATGTGATAAGGTATCATTGCAATGATACAATGATATGCTGCATAAAAAAAACATTTAACATGTATACATACTGTAAGTGTTTTTCATGTGTTTCTTAATGACAGAAATGACAGAATCTGGCACAGTAGTAACACTACATGCTTTTGATGTAGAAGTCATTCTTGGGGTCTTTGTACTTTTCGCCAGCATTATGTATCCGTGTATCTCTTTAAAAATACGTAAAACTTTTCAAGAACCAATGTGGCTTAAAAAGTAAATTTCTCTGCATGACTCATACACTTCTGTTGCAGAAAGACCTTTAATTATTCCATGTGTCTAGCAGAGATCTCCTGATATTTACTGCACTGTAATATAAAATGGCAATGCCATGCATGAATTTGTATCTGGTAGCAATTTGCTGGGATTATTTTTTGCATCAAAGCTCTCGCACGGACTGACAGATCATAGCTGAAGTCTGGACACAGAAAAAGCGGCAGGTTTGTCCAGCGCTGATAGTATATTTGACCTTACATAGCCGCAAGACTGGAACAATTTGTCTACTGCTTTCATTACATGGCACAGCTAACAAGGTATCTTTCATGCTTGGCTGATATTAACAGCACGTTCGGAGCAGAAATTTAATTAGACCACCAGGTTCAAAAACAAACTGTATAAACGGGGAATGTGCTCCCTGTGTGCGCAGCCATGAAAAATACATCAAGCCACAGTGACGTTAACAAATGATGTTCATTACTTATTTTCCGACTGACCAGGCCTGATCTCTGATGTAAATATTGAGGGACTTCAGTAATTTTATTTGAATCATTTCAGTTTTTAAGATGAAAGATGGCATGCAGTCAGGAGTAAAGCAGCTTATCACTGATGAAAGATGGTAATTTTTATCGCTCATCTGACAATGATAAATTGCCGGGCGAACTGAATTTCTTTCCCCCTCTTTCATATCTACCAATTGTCCATTTTAGGGTGCAGCCTTAGAGCTTTACTTGCAGCAGGGATGTCATTCAGCACTGTTCTCTTCTGGAGTTTCTTCTCGTCTTTACCAGGTTTCCTTGTAAGCATGTTTTTTTGTAACTAGTGAAATCAAAGAAAGTAAAGCTTCCACATACTAATAACAGGTGCACGTGCTATGACTGTTCTTTTTTCTTACCGAGAAAGTGAACCGTGATTTTTGCAGGATACAGTCTTCAGGCCATCCATCTTAATTTTCACTGAAGTACTGCAGTGCAATTTCTCACTTCGAACTGCATCAACCAAGGTCTGATTTTAGGAGAGGAGTGATCAATAGGTGTCTTTTCCATCTTTCTACAAAGATAAGTCCTTCAGTCACTAAATGTACCCAATCAGGAGGAGAGGCCTATTGGCTACACTGACTTACATTTTCCTTGCCCTTGGCTGCAAGGGATTGTGGGATGCCACAAACCAGCAAGATGCTCCTCTGAAGTTCCCCAGCAAACGCTCAAGCATGGTAGGAGATGGGACTTGAATCAAAGGCCCTCTGTAGCAGCTGGTGAAGTTCAAATGCCATGCAACAGATTGTTTTTAGAGACCGCTCACATCTTGCACCTTCCAAATTTCCCCCAGTGAAACTGGTCACCTCCAGCAGAACTGCATGCGTTAGAAGGGACTGCATGATTCTTAGCACAAGTGGCTGTGGAGTGGTGTCAGAAAAATCAAAAAGAAGGGCGCTATTTATGTAGCCCTTTTCTCAAAAACAATCTCCGGTGTTAAGTGAGGCAAGAGATTCTCACGGCCCTCGTCTATTTTTGTTTTGGCATAGACAACACTGAGGTGTGTTGTGGGGGAAAAGGCTGAGGATTGCATGGTGTGTAGTGACAGCGGGTTTGTTGTGCAGATGGTGTTGTAAGTCTCCAGAGGCACCTTAGGAGGACTGAGCATGGCTTGTTCTCAAAGCATCTGGAGGTGTCAGGGAGTTCATAAAGCGATGCATTGCACAGGCATTGCTCTTAATATGCTGTCACTATATTCATTAACCTAAAAGGTTTTTTGGGGGTACAATCAGGCCCCTTTGAACAGTAAGCAGCCTGCAAAGACTCCTTCCAGAGCATTCCCTGGATGCTCATTCCGAGTATTCGGCATATTTGTTTTTTTTATTCCTTTCTCCAATATGTCGGGCTGTTGTCAGAGTCATGGCTGTTCCAGTTTCAAGGTCCCTTCTGAAATGTCTCTGCTCAGTTTGATCTCATTCGCTCCACATATGTGTGTCCTGCATATAATTCTGGGCGTTTGCTGACGTACCCTTGGAAGAACAAATGAACAGAGGCGGGTGATCCTACAAACACCAGACCTTCCTTTCCCAACCTGCCATATATCACACTTGACACTTCCAGGTCTAAAGCTTGGCAGCAACATCTACACACTTTCTCTGAAAGCTAATAAATATTCCTCTGATTTCCCTGGGCTCGATTTAAAACCAATATTTAGACTGTCGAAAAAATGCGTGGAACTTGGAACGTGTCTTTGCTCTCAAGTGTCCATCAACAACTTGGGAAGTTTGCTTCTAGATCTGGTCAATGTTTTTGTAAAAGAAAGCAGCATAAAACTAACTAGAACACTGAACGCATATTGAGTCTGACACCAGAGCTTCAAGAATTGCTGGAATCCGGTGAAAAGCAAAAAACAACATGTATGATTCAACGTGACCGCATACATTTTATTTCAAAAGTATTCAACTGCATCTTTAAAACTGTTGACGTTTTTTTTTTATATAATGGATGTGAAATGCTGCTGAATGCTTTTGGATTTATTTTCATTAGCATTTATTACAATTAGCTATTTCTCCAGTCATTGAAAGGTTAGATGGCAAACACAAAATAATTTCTGGATTTCATCTGAACGCCAGAGGTGTAATGGTTAAAGACAAATGAAGGGGGGAAAACGGTATGCTGTAATGGATATTGTCTGTTAAAACTGATCACAAAGAGTCACGTTGATCTTTCTAAATGAGATAATTCAGCCCTCACAAATCATGCTGGAAAAAAATGATATCCTTTTCATGTATGAAAAGATTGTAATCTAGTTCTAAGATTAAATCTCCTCTTATTGCTTTTTAATAAACACTGAAATCCAGCTTATTTCCAAGGCTGATATGTGTCTCACTACCAAATTCAGTTGTCTTCATTTCAGCATTAATCTGATTTTTTGGTGTGGTGGTGGGAGATACTAGGTTTTCAAAAGGAGCAAATAAGCCAGGTCAAAAGGTGAGGTCTGCTGCCACTTTTCTATATAGAATTACCAGCTAATCTAATGGCACTACCAGCTTTTATAAATATGACCTATCACATTCCTTTGGTCAAAGGCATGTAATACTGATTAATTAAACAACGCAGCTTCTTCTCTTAGAGTTTAATAGTACAAATACAACAATGTCTGGAAAATCAGAAAAACAAGCAGGATGCCAGTTCATTTTCTAACATTCTTGGGTTAGTAGGGACTTAAATACAGCACTATTTTCCTCTACATCTAGCATTGTTTTTGCAAAGGTTTACATTTCACAAAGTGCTTATATGTTCGCTGTGTTCATTTATTCTGCATCCACTGCAAACCAACTGTCACAATGAAGTTTTCTTCACTAAATTACAAACTTGGCATTAAAAAAACATTTTGCCTGCTTTATTGTGAGAAAAACGCAATGTTCTTTACATTTGCAACTGTGTGCTATGTCTGGGCTTTTCGCTGGAGAGACGTAAGACTTCAGGCAGATCAGTTTCTGAGTGGATGAGCTGGCTCTTGCTGCCTCTTACAGGAAGGAATGCAGTAAACATTTACATGCGAAGGTCTCTTCAGTACTGAAAGAGCTGAGCACAAAACGTATCTGCTTATGCAGGCCCCCAAAACTGAAACCACTTCAATTATTTGCTTAGCAATCTAGCGAAACAAAAGAAAGTGTATTGCACTTACAGCACAAGAAAATGGGTTTTTGTTACTTGTTTTATTCTTAGATAAACGGTAAAACTTTAATTTAAGAAATTATTTGAACAGTTCCAACTAATTCATTTAATTTAGTTATCATAATAATAAGCACAACTGATAATGGAACTTGAACCACTCCAGGCATTCTTATCATAATAAAGAATGGATCCATTAGGGAGTTGGTGGGAAGCATTTTACACATGATGAGATTTGTGATTCAAAATACCTGGAAAATTAAATATATTTATTTTATTTTTCAGACATTCAGCTTGCAACATGTGCTTCCATTGGGAATCTTATCATTGGAAAAAAATCCAAATCTAAATAAATGGTGAGGAGAAAATCCCTGTCAATATCTTTACTTAATTTGTTTTAAGAATGGCTCAAGTGACAGGTTGGGGGGGAAAAAAAGATTTAAAAATGAAAATCTGTAGCTCCCCATGAAAGGACAAAGACTGATGTATTGTCATTCTCTCACGTATGAGACCAGCTCGCAGTGAAATCTGACACTTTTTATGAGTTGATAGTCACAAGTTTTCTCACACCCTTTAATCCCGAGACAGAACAAAATGGGAGAATTTTATTGTGCTTGTAAACTCTCAAAACACAAAGCACAATATTTTTTTTCCAATCACATTATAGTAAAACACTGATGCATTAATTGGCAGAATGTAGCTTTTGAGCAAAAAAAATGTATTTTTAAAGTGCTGGTCTTTTCACTTTAAATGTTTTTCAGCAATGAAATTATAGATTCATCTTCAGTCTTATTAAAGACTCTTAAATGGAAAGATGAAAGACTAAAAAACAAAGTTAAGACATTGATGAAGACTAACGTCCCTCTCAAAATATAAAAGAAAGAAAACACTACCACAACCAAGCCATCCTACTTTGAATTCAACTGAACACAGCTGTGTATATACAATATAATACACTTCTGTTTCCCTAGCACATAAAAGCTCATGTCTAGGAAAAAGAAGTATGTGAATTTGTATTGCACTGTGCAGTCCTCAGGGTATTTCAAGCCTTCATGAAAGATTAGCTATTTAAATCCATAAAGGTGTACAATTAAAAATGCATTACTTAACCCATATATTGATTATAATTACCTGAAAAGGTTTTGTTCCTAGAACACAGAACAGTGGTTTAGTACTTTGTGGTACAGAATCTCTCTGAGACAGAATCATTTGCTTTGCCGGCTAAGCAACTGATATTGAATTGGACTTAAGAATGTTTTGCTTTTGAAAGTGATAATTTTGAGAAATAACAAATCTTTCATGCTTTTTCTAATTAACTTGTATGCTGTAGATAATTCACATGTCAACAAAGCTTATTTCTCCAGAGAGGAACACTTAGAAACCAATACAGTATGTTTTACTTCTATTACATAAAAAGTTAAAGAAACAATTATTAGAATTTAACTAGAGGTGCATCGGTATAACAACATGACTGTAGTAGATAGTCAACATTAATTTAGAAAAGGTAGGTCTTAATAAACTAACTTGATTCTCTGAAGAAGCAACAGCAGTAATGGGATCTAGTATATTTAGATTTTTCAGAAGGGTTTTGATAAATTTACAAGATGAATTTCTCAAATAGCAGATGGTGGGCACCATTGAAGGTAATGCATGTAATCAAATTAAGAATTGGCTGATGGACATGAGTCAGAGGGTGCAGATAAGGGATGAATGGTCAGATCAGAGTAGTGGAGTACCACAGGGATCAGTATTGGAACTGCTTTTACTGATTTATACCCATGATCAAGATTCTGGTATCGCTAGCAAACTTCTGAAGCTTGAAAGAACATTAGTAAATGCTGCAAAACAAAGTTAAAAAAGACTTGACAGGTGATATTTAATGTAGTCAATGCAGACTTAACATATACTTAAATTCGAATTATGCAATGTAGTTCCAGGACCTCATTCAGAAATGCTTTTCATTTACAATAAAGCAGTTGACATAAATCAACAAACCACAACTACAATTTTGGTCGCCACCATACAAATAAGATACTTTGAAAGTGGTTCAGGTATGAATGAATATATGTTAAAATAAATGCCTTTGTGGGACCAAAGGAACATCCTAAACCGACAAGCTAAATGAACTGATTGTTAATCCTTGACTATGAGGAGACCTGAGTCAAGTATTCAGAAATTCAATTCAATAGACTTTTTGTAGAATAAACAGTGAACACGCATACAAGAGGACACAACTGCAAACTACATGGAAGTGAAATGAAAAATTAGAACAGGAGACACATCTTAATGTATGGAGTTGTGGGACTGTAGAGTTTGTTGAAGCCGATACTCTGGCTTCTTTCAAGAAACAGCTAGATGAGATTCTCGGATCAGTTTTTTTTCCTGTTTTTATCTGAGGAGAGACCAATATATTCCTCTCCATTATCCTTTTTTTTTTACTTTGATGAATGTACAGTAGGTGTAGCACGTTAATTGTGTTTTTGAACACTTACAGTATGGTCATTCTTGAGGAAGAAAAATCAAAATCACCTGCAGTTAAACACATTCATGATAGTGGCAATAAAGTTGACCTGATTACCCACATATCTGACATGCAGGCACATAAACCTGTTTTGCAGAAAATGCAGACAATTCAAGTTTAAACACCCCTCTACAGACTAATTCAAAGATTTAGCACAACAGCTAATGTTTAAGACTCCTGTGTGTTAGTTTTTAACTTACTGGGTTTTTTTAGAATCGGTTGGTTGTGTAGCTACAGATGCTTTCTGTTGTGCATTTAGTGCACAGACAGATGAAGAGTCTTGAAAAAGTTCCTTGTCTGAGATAACAAACCAGCACTGAGGGCTGTAAGGAAGAGGCTGTCTAGCAGTTCACAAGGAGGAGCCCAAACGCAGGGACAGCGTGGAACTGTTGTTATGGTGTGCAAGTCAAATTCCTTTGCTTTCCTTTCATAATGATGATGTGAAAATATTTGACCCTGCAGTCTGGAGGGAGTCAAAGGAGTAGTGTGCTACACCCCAACATCTCTTAGTTCTAGAGAAAAGGGGTGTGATTTGTTAAACACTGGGTGCTCTCTCCATTGTGCCCCCAACATGAGGACATCTGGCACAAGCAGGAAGCCCTCTGATTAAGGGCTGTGTCTCCATTCTCACCCAGTGAGCTGTGCAGCATTGAAACACTGGCCCTGCTTTTTCATGCTAATTCCAGAAATATAAGAGCAGATGTGAAACATTTGGTTCTGTTCTTGTTCACTTGTAAAGAAATAATGCGCCATTATTATTATTTTTTCACCCCCTCCTGAAAAGAAAGTTTACCATAATAGCGATCTTCCTTGGTGGCCTGGGGTGTGATGAACTTTATATTCAACAGTGCCAGCGCGATTCTGGTAAGTGGATGAACGCAGACCCAGGTGTTCAAGGGTTCGGTAAACTGCTAAGAAAACTGGGGAAGAATAAGCAACTTCTGCTGCTCCAATTAAGGCATCATTAATCTGAAATGTATTGGTACGCTAAAATATTTGAATGAAGCGATCTGGATTTAAGCTTTATACATGGACTTGTGTTCTTTCAATGTATCTTGTCTACTCTTGTACAGTATCAAGGGATGTGATACGTTTTTCACAAAAGTAGACATACTTTGGAAATAAAATGACTTATCCTGAAGTGGACATGGATGACCGATGCGTTTATAAACTTTCTTACAGCTGAATGTCCATTTTACCTCTTATTAATTTCTCTACTAGGGGACAAGGTTTCTAAGGGGTTTGGTTAAATATTGCTTATTTGCATGATGACACATGGCTACATAAAGTTGATCATTGCTTTGGATTTAGCTACTGTATTTGATTTAGTATTACTGACTGCAACCAAATAATAAAGTACTTCCTATTAGAAATAACTTGTCAGTGCTATTTTTTTATAGGTTCGTACTGACAGAAAATAGTAAAAGGAAGCATTTCGTATTAATATGTGCACTGAAAGTTACCTTTGAGTATGATTTATTTGTTAAATTATTTATATTCTTTCTCCATCCATAACATTTTCTTTGGAAAAACCTCCAGGTTTTAGTCATGATTAGTCAATCACAGCCAAGTATAAGATACACAGTACGGACATGATTGACGCCTGTGGACATACTGTCGGTTTATTTAAAAGAAGAACGCGTTAAATGGGACTCCACTATGCACAGCGCCTAGTTCTGCCAGAAATGATAATTCATGGTCGTTTTGGGAATCCGAGCGTGAAAACATATGTCGGATGAATTACTTTCAATCTGGTTTGTACATGGTTGCCTTCTTTGTTGTAAAATACATTCCTTATTAATTTGTCATTACTGTTTGGCGATATCAGAAATGAACCGAGGCTTTCACTTTGTTGTCATGGAAACGAGAGGCATCCTCCTGAAATCGATCTGTAGCAGATGTGCAAACAATTAATTCGTGCTCATGTCGTTTGATTTTAGCTTCAGGTCGGATATACTGTATATTGTGGCACCGTCTCACTCCGCACTGCGGAACGTAGGCGGAAAAGTACAACTACTGGTCACAGTCCTTTAACTTTTTAAATATATACTGGATGTTTAAGAGAAAGGAGGGCGATACTGTCATTTTAAATAAACAAAAATATGCAAGTTAAAATGGCTCCTTAAAAACTTTAAAAAACTTCGGTTATGTGTGGTTGTTTTATCCCGTTTGTGTTTGAGAGCTGTCTATTGATTACTAGGTGTAGTACGTTCCTTGAATCCCATCAGATCTTGCACAGGAAGCCCACCAAGACGACGGTGCAAGTTGAGTTTACACGACACAAAAGCAAAGGTAAATGTAAAACTTCACCGTGGAGTTGCATAAACCGCAACTGGATTCCTTACTTAGGTTGCTTTCTGTGTCCAGGATCCTCCGACAGTCCTGAAACCTGTTGTACAAGCAGCGTCTTTAGATCACAACGTGATCGACAGGAGTCTGGTCCTGATTTGCGCCCTGTGCCTGAAATACTCAAGAGTAAACCGGTTATCGGAAATAGATGGATAATTAGAGCGCTGCTCTGCAAAGTCATCCCTTTCTCACGAAGCGTGTGAAAATGCTATTGGTATTCCGCCCGGCTTGACAGCGCAACAAGGGGCGTGGCGGGTTTATGGCTTTGTGCCCGCCCCATTTCTATCCCATTGGTGCTTGTCTGCCTGCCACGCTTCTCACAACCGTCCGTCATAATTCTGCGGGCTCCTATTGGACGAGGAAACGCCAATTACCTCCCGTGATGTCATGCAGAAGTTTGATACAAGGAACACACGTGTGGAAGGGACAGAATAGTAAAAGTTTGTCAAGGCGATGGGAACAGGTTGCAGACCTCTTTAAAAAAAAATCTTTCCTCGAAAGAAAAAAAATATTTATTTATTTTAGAAGTTCGGTTATAGCTACGAATGATAGCTGTTTTTAACTTTGAAAACTAATTATGGAGGTAGCCAGTTTGAATAAAGTGTTCATATAGGCTGCTGCTTAGGCTAGCTGTATTAGAGCTTCTGTTTACGTGTTTAACTCCGTGTTGAATTAACAAGGTTTAACACGATTTCGTTTTTACAATTATTTCTTTTCACATGCTTTTTTACATTCCTGCTTTCTAGCGGATCTAGAAGATGCGGGGCATATTAGCTAGGCGATTGCATTGTCACGAATAATAATCATTCATTCTACCACAGACCCAGATTAAGGAATTATTCGGCTCAGCCACGGTGTATTGAAACAACAGCGTTGTGCGGAGCGCGTCTAGTTCACAACCGATGCAGTCTTACTTGGAGGTCTATTTTTCTCGATGGCAAGACTCACGAATGCCTGCTTAGCATGGCCGTGGCTGTGTCACCGACGACCCGCGGACCGTTATGGCATTTAGCTTTCTCTTCTCGGACCCTCTGTCCAGGAGCACCTTTAAGAAATTCGTGGTCATGCTGTGCTCCCTGCTCACCTCCCTGTACTTTCTCCACTGCCTGACCGAGAGCTGCGGCACCGCGCCGCACCCCGTCAGAGCGTCCGACCCAGCCCCGACCTACCTGGGCTCGGCCCTGGGAGACTGGACCCCGCTCAGAAGAAAAAGGCTTCTGCAGAAACGCACCAGCGGCCCCGTGTACGAGACGGCTGGGCGCAACGCCGGGTCCGATGCCAGTCGCGGCGGCGGCCTCCGTGCGAGAGGTTGGTCTGACCCGGAGCACCTGAGATCCGACCTGCGACTCTCCGGCTCGGTGAACTTGGCCGCCCTGGCGGGGATGTCGGTGCTGTCGGCCGCGGGCGGGAGCTCGGGTGCGAGTAAACTGAGCCAGCTGGGCGAAGGCACCAAGAAGCTGCCCCAGGCGATCATCATCGGGGTGAAGAAGGGAGGCACCCGCGCCCTCCTCGAGTTTCTCCGGGTGCACCCCGACATCAGAGCTGTGGGAGCGGAGCCGCACTTCTTCGACAGGAACTTTGACAACGGGCTGGACTGGTACAGGTAGAGAATTACTGTCATTGTCGCTGTTTGCTGTGTGACCTGACCGGGTTTTTTCTTGTGGAGAGAGACGATTCGCATAGGGTTCGTTTTTAGTTTTTTTCCTTGCTCTGCTCTGAAGAGAGAAGGAGAGCGTCAGACGTAGTGACTGCTGTGCTTTCATCTGTGCTTCGCTAGTGCCTCTTACTGGTAACAAATATCACATTGCAGCATATACAGTAATGCGCTGTATTGTATCGGTATAAGGCATTTGCATTAATATGGTTAAAACTGCACAAGGGACGTTACGGTTTGTTGCAATATTGTATTATAACATAATTTATTTTATCTATGATAGTCCGCCAGCAAAACATATTTTTTTGTTGTTGTTTTGCCAAGTATTTGTACGTAAATGACGAGTTGGCATTTTCCACGCAGGCGGAAAAACAATCGAAATAGTTACTTATTGGGTATAATAATGTGTAATAGTATGTTCATTATAAATTCGAGTATATACAGTGTAAATAACTGGGATCACGGTGAATACATGTATTTCGTCATCGGAAAAACGTGGTTCACAAAACTTTACCGAGTTGTGAAAACGGCCTCTCTTCTTGCTAAGCTTCTTTGTAAATACGCATACGTAAATACTTTGGTAAATTCCCTCTTCTCGGCATATTAATGTACAAAAAAAAAACATTTCCAGACGAGTTTCTCTTTTTTAAAAAACTCCATTCTGTTTATCATATTGTAAATTACTGAAAAGTTCCTATGTATCAAGTTAAATCTTTTTTTAAAGTTGCAAACCAAATCTGTATTACTTTCAGCCTATTATTATTATTATTATTATTATTATTATTATCGAATATCTGGAGTCGGTGTCTTCAGTCAATGTAAGTTACAATGATGTAATGAGCGGCGATTATCTGTTAATTTCGTAAAGGAATGCAAATGTTATCCTAGAAAGCTGACTTCTTTGCCAAAGTGTAAATATTTAACTTTGAAATAAAGCACTTCAACAGTAATGTGCGAAGAAGTTTAGATTACAAGCCAATAACTAATTATTACTACTCTTTTGTGATTGTTTCCACAGTGTTAGCGTTTAATATTACTAGGGTGGTATTTCAGCATTGCTGAAAATTGAAAACTGTTGCTCCTCCTTTGAGGTTAATTTATTTCTCTTCTAAATACTAATATAAGCTTATTTCCCCCAATAGTTTCTTTAAATGGTGTACTTTCTTGGTCAAGCTTATTAAATATGTCAGTTGGTTTCAAAGTTAAAATCCTGGTAAAAGTTTAGTTTTATGTTCTGTTTGATCTAATACGTCCTTCCAGTTTAAACCAAGCGTATTTTGGGATAATATTCTGTATAATGTAATTTTGCATAGTCAAATTCTTTAAATCTTTGGTATTTGTTTAGTCTTTGTATATTTTTCCAATCTGATTTAAAGAAAATCCCTTACGTTTGTTTGATTAATTATTCATTTTTTATAGAAACAACATAAGTTAACCTGCATATTTTAAAATATCGTATTATTGTTATTTTTTCTGCTGATTGACGTTTGAATTTATATTAAACCTTCATAGGAATTTCTTTAATAATTTAATTATGATAAAACAAACATTAAAAAAATTAAATGGGTCCTAAATGTGTTTAATGAAATTAAGAATGGGCTGAATAAGGAAAGTTGCGTTGCTTCGAAGCTGTTAAATTGGGGGGAATTTCAGCTAATTATTACTGAAATAAATTATTTTCAGTCTCTAGGAACAAATCTATGTATTTTTATTTTGTTTTAGTATTCTTTAAGGAGTTTTTCAAAGTGAAGGTCCTGTTTGACGTTTATGTGCAAAAGTTTCGTAGTGATATGACGTTTTGAAAAGCAGATGTGTGAAGTTTGACTTGGCACTTTTCAAAGAAATGCCCCTTTTCATTCCCCTACTGAAAGTTCATAGTTTTATTCCTCTTATTTTACCTAACAATTCGCATGCTTCGTATTTCACAAGCTTTCGAAGGTTGTCTTGTTTTACCAGAAAATGTGATTGGCAAACCTGGCTAGGCTAGAGTCTATATCCTGTACCATTATTGTAGCGCCTGAAGTGAGCTGCTGTTTTGATTTTTACTCATGGGAAACTAATAAGGAAAGGGACTGCACCACGTTATTGCATCTCGCGGAACACGTCTAGGAAAGTAGTACTTTAAGGAAAACTTTGGTGGGAGAGAGAGAGTGAGTGAGAGAGAGGTCGTGCTCTTAAACGAAAACACAAGTTAACCCCCCTCTCCAACTCCTTTCCCCAACACACACCCTGTATAAATAATTGCGTCTTTCAAAATTTTCCTCAGAGCTGCCATTTCTCCCGCTTTCCTTCCCTCGCGGGGCCTGCGGATTGATTTGTGTATTTAGTTTCAGATCGATTTGTGTGTGTTCATTCACATTTCATGGAGCTCTCGGGGGGATAATGGGTCCCTTCTCGGTAGTTCCTGGAGTAATGGGGCATTTCTGACACCGCAGCCCTGTTGTTAAGAAGGATTATGTCGATAATGAAAGGTTACCTGCGTGTCTCGGGAGGAATAATTCACCTTTTGATTAACTTAACACTGCAGCTCACACTCCGAAGCAGTGTACAGTAGGAGGGGAAAAATGTTCCACTTTTAAAATACGAAATGCTGTAGTATATTCTGTCATACTAGTGTACTCCCTGTTGTTATCCCCGATCACATCGGTCTTTTTTCCAGCCTGTAAAATTGACAGATTGATGGACCGCGATTGAGTGATTGCTTTTGCATTTACTCGCTTGTTTGTTTATAGCAAAGTTCAGAACTAAATACAGTTCCATTTTGATCTTCTCTCGTCTTGTCATTTAATCCCAGAATTCCCTGACACTAGAGACCCTGAAATGAAAAGTGAAATTTAATTTTGTTGTGAATCTCAAGCACTGATAAGTTAAGGGGTACGATAATTCTGTCAAAAAGATACTTGAGGAACTGGATGTCTAGTTATTAAATATGTAATTCATTTAGTTGCCTTGAGCTGTACATTTGAGAATGAGCTCTTCATTTTTTATGTGCCTTATTAAATGTTTGCTCATGGCTGCATCTAGTCAAGTTACTGCTCAGCTCTAATTCATTAACATTTTCTGCTACATTGTCTGTAAAAATCTACTCAGCTGTAAAATGACTATCAAGAAATGACGTTAATTTAGAGCCACTTGCTGAAAACCTTTTACCTAAATTCACACTTGCACGTTTAAAGGATAAATGGTTTTGTAATTAAGTACAAAAGGTTGTAATCTGTCCTTTTGACCATACAGTTTCTCCATACAGTATGCATAATACAGTATAGAATTTGCACAAAAATACTTTTAAAGTAAACTAAGTTGTGTAGTGAGAACAAATATATTTTATAAATAATATTTTGCTATGAGGTTATCAAGCTGTAGTAGCAATTGTATTGTGTATGTGACTGCCCGTGTGAGATTTTCAGAATGTGAATATTTTAAAATAGCAGTGTCATGGCCACCTTTTCACATTTTCACCTAAAATAATCTCCTTTAAGAGATCATCCGGTCTGTAATCTTCTCGTGTTTAATGTAATATAACTCACTTGAGTGAGCTCCTGCACTTCGGTTTAATGTTGGTGTTGACTGCAGGAACGTTTGTGTTGATATTATATTAATCATCAGCCACATGAAAGAAGCTTTCTGAATCCAGTTTGGAAAATAACTACAACTACAGTAATTAAAACTGTTTCTTCTGATTACTTATGAGATTATGGACACTGTCTAACAAAGACTCTTAAAATCATTGTACAAAAACCAAGAAAAACATTTCTGATGAGTAAAAACCCACAGAAACTGAAAACTATGAATAATAATCTGTTGTTTAACCCTGTGTCTCGTGATATTAGAGAGTCTTTGTTCTCTGCCTTTTTTATTGTATGAATGGGGTGGGAATTAGTGTGAGACCAATAATAAATATACCTCCTCTTGTGTCTGGTCGCACACCAGACTTGAATAATGTTTTTTCGTCTCTCCATTTACCTAATCCATCTTCCACACCCCTGGACGCTTGGAGATCGGCTCACGGTGTGATTGAGAGGCGAGATCAGAGCGCTGGCGAGCTGGTGGCGTCAGCCGCAGGATCTGGTTTCTCGGCGGGACAGTACCGCTTGTGACGGGCTCTCACTGATAGCGGACCAGCCGGGTCCTCACAGGACCCCCGCCTGCCGGAGATCGGTAGCGGTGGCTGACCCTTACCCAGCTCTGTCTGACTTGAAGGCAATAACTCTTCCCGGGAGTAGGTTTTCCACTTGCCTTTGAACTTTGTGGTGCAGGGATTGGAGGCCACACAAGCTCTATCGCGTTTTCTGGAGGAGTTTCTCCACCTGGGGTGAGACAGAAAAGACTGGGAGGCTTCGCCAGTGCACACAGACACTCTTTCTAAATGGGTTTGTCAGGGCCAGAAAAACTTGATGTGACTCGCACAGCTTTAAGATGGCTGACTTTGTGCCAGGTCCTTGTTTGCCTCTAGGAGCCAGTCATACACTGTAAACCCAGACAATTTGTTGAGACTCTCTTACGTTGAAACAGAGTTTCTTCAGACAGACAGAAATAAACTAGACTTGGAGGAGAGAGAGGAGACTGACCTTAAAACACTAACATTACACATCTAATGTTTTATGCAACATCTTTACATGACTTTCATTAGGTTAGCTTAAGAGATGATATTAAGACCAGAGGAGCCACTTACTGTGTACTATAGTTTGTTGTTGATGGACAGAAATGGGGGACCTTCAGTGAAAAGCTCTTTATTTCTCCCAAATTGTTTAATGCCAAGAAAATGAATAAAACATTTTTCCTTATTGTATAAAATGTTTGACCAAATTTAATTAATTTATGGATTCTTTTAGAAGAAAAATCAGAAATGGACTACTGAATGCTCATTTTTGGCATTCCTTATGCGTCACACCATTCCAAGTAAATTTGAACAGCCCGAGCTGTTCTGTACGTATTTCATTCTTGCATTG